AGTTGCAGATTACATGCATATTGTATTTCGCGTAACTATGAATGAATGTGCTGTGAGAGAGAATGCATGTGGAATGATACGTATGTTTTATCTGTCAGCTCTAACTTTTAACAGTCCAAATATATCAGCGCTATATCTAGCCCGGAGAAAGAAACCTTTATTTCTGTTGATCATTCAGTTCAGAAATAACGCTTATCCTGGAGTAGCAGTATGCTGTTTATTAAAATATTTTAGACAAGTATAATCAGTGCCCAGCTTTACTCCCTGGTATACACGATGCAATCAGAAAATGTCAATTTCACATGACGTTCTACCCAGTCATCCTCCCTTATTCTCTGCTTGGTCCCGCGTTATTTTAGACAAGTATAATCAGTGCTATATGGTATATATGTCATGCAATCAGAAAATGTAGATGTCACATGACGTCCTACCAAGTCATCCTTCCTTATTCTCTGCGTTCTCCTATTTCCCCTTCCCTCCTTCACTCATTATGTACCTTGTAAGTGTCCCACTTCCCTACCCATACCTCCCTTTCCATTCCCTCCCGTCTGCTTTAGTGTGCCTTGTGAGTGTTTCATTTCCCTGTCCCTACCTCCCCCCTTGTCCTAAGGTGTACCCTGTAAGTGCCCCTATTTCTCTGTCACTACCTCCCCTCCTTGTCCTACGGTGTACCCTGTAAGTGCCCCTATTTCCCTGTCCCTACCTCCACTCCTTGTCCTACGGTGTACCTTTTAATTGCCCCCATTTCCATGTCTCTACCTCCCCTCCTTGTCCTACGATGTACCCTGTAAGTGCCCCCATTTCCATGTCCCTACCTCCCCTCCTTGTCCTACGGTGTACCCTGTAAGTGCCCCCATTTCCCTGTCCCTACCTCCCCTCCTTGTCCTACGGTGTACCCTGTAAGTGGCCCCCATTTCCATGTCCCTACCTCCCCTCCTTGTCCTACTATGTACCCTGTAAGTATCCCTTTCCATATTCCAACCTCCATGCCCCACTTTGTATCCTAAGTTTCCAATCTCTCTTCTTCCTCCAGTCCTTCTCCAATGTGTACCCTTTAAGTGTCCCATTTCCCTATTCCTTCCTCCTATCCTTCTACCACTGTGAGCCCTGTACGTGTACCGTTTCTCCTCTGTATTGGTTTGTTTGTGAACAGCTGTTCCGCCAGATTCCGTAACAATACATTGACGTCTACTCATCACTCACATCTGTGACCGATACTGGGATATCCAAGTAATATCTAAGGCTTTGACCCCTCTTCTAGATCAGATGCAACTGAAGCAGTCAGAACCGCCTTTTTATTACAGGGGATGTGACCCTTAGTTACCTAGGGAAAAGAGCCCTACTGCATTATCACTGAGATATGACACCTCCTCTACCGTAATTAGGGATCTGAGAGCCCTTCTGTATTATTACTGGGGGCTTGATCCCTCCTCTACTGAAGATTGAACTCCCGCACACTACCGTAAATAGGTATCATAAAGTATTGCTGTATTGTTGATAGTGATTTGACCCCCTCCTCTACAGTAACTAGGGATCAGAGCCTTACTGTATTTTTACTGATGAGTTGAACCCTCCTCTACTGTAACTAGGGCTCAGAACCTCACAGTATCATCACTGGAGTTTTGACCCCTCTATAACACACTCCTCTACCGTAGCTAGGGATCAGAACCCCACAGTATCATCACTTGAGTTTTGACCCCTCTATAACACCCTCCTCTACCGTAACTAGGGATCAGAACCCCACAGTATCATCACTGGAGATTTGACTCCCCTATAACACACTCCTATACCGTAACTAGGTATCAGAACCCTGCTGTATCATGACTGGAGATTTGACCCCTCTATAACACACTCCTATACCGTAACTAGGTATCAGAACCCTGCTGTATCATGACTGGAGATTTGACTCCCCTATAACACACTCCTATACCGTAACTAGGGATCAGAACCCCACAGTATCATCACTGGAGATTTGACTCCCCTATAACACACTCCTATACCGTAACTAGGTATCAGAACCCTGCTGTATCATGACTGGAGATTTGACTCCCCTATAACACACTCCTATACCGTAACTAGGGATCAGAACCCCACAGTATCATCACTGGAGATTTGACTCCCCTATAACACACTCCTATACCGTAACTAGGTATCAGAACCCTGCTGTATCATCACTGGAGATTTGACACCTCTATAACACACACCTATAACCTAACTAGGAATCAGAACACTGCTGTATCATGACTGGAGATTTGACTCCCCTATAACACACTCCTATACCGTAACTAGGGATCAGAACCCCACAGTATCATCACTGGAGATTTGACTCCCCTATAACACACTCCTATACCGTAACTAGGGATCAGAACCCTGCTGTATCATCACTGGAGATTTGACTCCCCTATAACACACTCCTGTACCGTAACTAGGTATCAGAACCCCACAGTATCATGACTGGAGATACCGTAACTAGGTATCAGAACCCCACAGTATCATCACTGGAGATTTGACTCCCCTATAACACACTCCTATACCGTAACTAGGTATCAGAACCCTGCTGTATCATCACTGGAGATTTGACCCCTATATAACACACTCCTATACCGTAACTAGGTATCAGAACCCTGCTGTATCATGACTGGAGATTTGACTCCCCTATAAAACACTCCTATACCGTAACTAGGGATCAGAACCCTGCTGTATCATCACTGGAGATTTGACTCCCCTATAACACACCCCTATACCATAACTAGGGATCAGAACCCTGCTGTATCATGACTGGAGATTTGACTCCCCTATAACACACTCCTGTACCGTAACTAGGTATCAGAACCCTGCTGTACATCATCACTGGAGATTTGACCCCTCTATAACACACTCCTCTACCGTAACTAGGGATCAGAACCCCACAGTATCATGACTGGAGATTTGACTCCCCTATAACACACTCCTGTACCGTAACTAGGTATCAGAACCCTGCTGTATCATCACTGGAGATTTGACTCCCCTATAACACACTCCTATACCGTAACTAGGTATCAGAACCCCACAGTATCATCACTGGAGATTTGACTCCCCTATAACACACTCCTATACCGTAACTAGGTATCAGAACCCCACAGTATCATCACTGGAGATTTGACTCCCCTATAACACACTCCTATACCGTAACTAGGGATCAGAACCCCACAGTATCATCACTGGAGATTTGACTCCCCTATAACACACTCCTATACCGTAACTAGGTATCAGAACCCTGCTGTATCATCACTGGAGATTTGACCCCTCTATAACACACTCCTCCACCGTAACTAGGGATCAGATCGCCTTCACTACCGACATTAGGGGTAACATTTCTCTTACATACATTTCTTTTGTGTGTAATTGGATATAGAGATCATTTGCAGTTATGAATCAATGTTATTTTGACACTTTTAAATATATCCTGAAATAGCTACTATTTCTGACGTTATTGTATCTCCTACTTCCACTTGACACTTTCTCGTTACTGCCATCTCGCCGAGACCCCCTTTTCATTATCAGGGTTTAATTTGAAATTTAAGGAAGCGTGTTTTTCATTAGTGGTAAAGATATCCTGCTCCTGTTTGACAAAATCAATTACTATTGACACCTTTACGACAGGTCAAGTTATAAACAAACTTATCAGTTCGCCATGGCATACGAGTCCTGACCTTGATTACCAAAACAAACAAAACTTCACGACGGATGTTCGGAATTTCTGATTCTTTTCGTGATGGCAACGTTCTGACGACTAGAGAGTAGGAGGGAAATGTCACCGTGAGATTGCGGGGTTAGTGTTACTTAATTGGAGGGTGTCGAACATTGCCCCTCCGTTATTATCTAACTCAAATCTCACAATATCTCGCACAGCTGCGAGACACTACTGCGCCCTCTGGCGAATATAGATACATAGATTAAAGAGAATAGTAAAACACTTTCAAGACACACCTTTGTAATATTACTCTAAATCAAACGACTTGTGTTTATTTTTGTATCAAGTATGTTATCCTTGCGCTTTGATATTGAATTTCCTCGTATAATCGAGGTAAAACCGTTTGATGTTATATGGTTACACATTAGCCTTAAACCAGGAAGTTGAGACAGCGTGTCATAGAAACATAAAAATACATGAGGGAATTCATTTATTCGTGTAAGTAAATACGGAAAACCGTGCAGCGCGCTTTTTTCACTGTTGGCAAAGGTCAACCGTTATAATTTAACGACCCTCAAAATTAATTCAAATTGAATTCCCACACGCAAGTTAAATTTTACAACAATCAGAGGAAGCAGTAACTGTTGCAATTCAAGATCTATGAAAAAAAATCTGAAACTTAAGAAAGATACAATTAAATTAAATAAATTGAAATTTTTCTTGTTAATTGATTTACCTGTGCATTTCAATCCGTGTTTAAACTGATGCCGTTAAACATCACGGTATTGATTTGCTTTCCTGATATTGTCAGGTTTACGCAGGTAATTCAGTATGAACATTCTCCGTGTCATCATGTGCGCTGTTGAATTCTAATAACTATATACGCTTCACTGGTGTCACTCGGTATGTGGCTGGATGTAGTCCACTTCATATCGCCGGAATTTAATCGTCATTCCTGGGTCGATATCTGACTTATCCCCTTTTCATGACGTCTTCATTACATAACACTTAAGCATTTCAAACTGCAAAAATCCTTTTCTAAAGCAAAATTGTTAGAGTTTTGTACATGGGTAACTGTTGGCTTGTGTGGATGTCTTGGTTGCTGTGCTTCTTTTTACCTGAAAGGTGCGCATGTGTATTCATTGTTTACGTAGGAAAGTAACACAAAAGGTACAAGATACAGATTTATAAGTATTTTTTTATTTTTGGAAGTACATAAACAAACCACTGGTATTTTATTGTGTAAAGGGTTGTTTACCGACGGTCCACAGCAGCTACAGTAGAGCTGGCTACAGGCGTATTATAACGTTAGGGAGTGTAGAGATCGCTCTCACTCTGAGCGTGAACACTGAGAGTGGTGTGTGTTACTCTGGGATGTTAGCTTGACAATGTGATTTCTACGTATCATAGTGTATACAGACAGGATTTAGGCTGCTCGGGATTAATATTTTCAAACCAAGGTAATTACAATTAATTTATTTAAGACATTTAATCCTCATTTTTAATTTAAATTAGTAAATCATCGAACGTTCATCATAAATGAATTAATTCTTTAAAATGTATGCCGTACGTTTTTGCATACACTCAATAAGATAAAATCCGATCGAATGCTGATATCTACGAACGACAATCAGGTAGTGTTGTTGATGTGGAGAACATATCAGACGGGTATCCCTGCCGTAGTTTACAATGACTGTGTTTATGCTTATTATACAGTTGTCTGTACTGGAGATGTGTACACGCCATACTGTATCTGTATAAGAGACGTGTACACACTATACAGTGTCTGTATTATAGACGTGTACACACTACACAGTGTCTGTATTGTAGATGTGAACACACTGTACAGTGTCTGTATTGTAGACGTGTACACACTATACAGTGTCTGTATTGTAGACGTGTACACACTATACAGTGTCTGTATTGTAGACGTGTACACACTATACAGTGTCAGTATTGTAGACGTGTACACACTACACAGTGTCTGTATTGTAGATGTGAACAAACTATAAAGTGTCTGTATAAGAGACGTGTACACACTTTACAGTGTCTGTATTGTAGACGTGTACACACTATACAGTGTCTGTATTGTAGACGTGTACACACTATACAGTGTCTGTATTGTAGACGTGTACACACTATACAGTGTCTGTATAAGAGACGTGTACACACTATACAGTGTCTGTATTGTAGACGTGTACACACTACACAGTGTCTGTATTGTAGAGATGTACACACTATACAGTGTCTGTATTGTAGACGTGTACACACTATACAGTGTCTGTATTGTAGACGTGTACACACTATACAGTGTCTGTATTGTAGACGTGTACACACTATACAGTGTCTGTATTGTAGACGTGTACACACTACACAGTGTCTGTATTGTAGATGTGTACACACTATACAGTGTCTGTATTGTAGACGTGTACACACTATACAGGGTCTGTATTGTAGAGGTGTACACACTATACAGTGTCAGTATTGTATATGTGTACACACTATACAGTGTCTGTATTGTAGACGTGTACACACTATACAGTGTCTGTATTGTAGACGTGTACACACTATACAGTGTCTGTATTGTAGACGTGTACACACTACACAGTGTCTGTATTGTAGACGTGTACACACCATACAGTGTCTGTATTGTAGATGTGAACAGACTTTACCGTGTTTGTAATGGAGACTTCTACACGCTTTACCGTGTTTGTAATGAAGACTTCTACACGCTTTACCGTGTATGTAATGGAGACTTTAACACGCTTTACCGTGTATGTAATGGAGACTTCTACACGTTTTACCGTGTATGTAATGGAGACTTTTACACGCTTTACCGTGTATGTAATGGAGACTTCTACACGTTTTACCGTGTTTGTAATGAAGACTTCTACACGCTTTACCGTGTATGTAATGGAGACTTTAACACGCTTTACCGTGTATGTAATGGAGACTTCTACACGCTTTACCGTGTATGTAATGGAGACTTTAACACGTTTTACCATGTATGTAATGGAGACTTCTACACGCTTTACCGTGTATGTAATGGAGACTTTTACACGCTTTACCGTGTATGTAATGGAGACAAGGATATAAGCTGTACCATGTCAATTCTTGAGATGTGTGTACATTTTATACAATGTAATTATTCATATCGCCGTCAACCATTTTTTCAGTTTGATAACTTTGACCATTGTGAAAAAAATAATAAACCGGTGGACCGATAATACTGGTGCCCTTGTTGACGTCATAATTGTAAGGTGGGACTTCCAGAATGTCTGATACGTAATATAAACATCAAAACACCAGCTTTTATAGGTTTCTTCCGTTCCACCTCACTAGTGCAGAAAATCATCTTGAATTAGTGTGATGTGATGATTTCAATTGTAGAAAGTCAGAGGAGCGATGTCGTGTGGTTAGGACCGATACGTGTCTCATAAATAAAGTTGTTTGTTACTGTTGTCGTTTTGTCTAGAACACGACACTGACACATTGGAAATTGCCCGTGAAAGTGTTCGGCTATAAAACCTGTAAACTAGAAATACTGGCACACGAGAGGTTGACAATGAAGATCTATCCCGTATAAGGTAATTACCAAACTGAGGTAAACCGCATTCAAACAATGTAATTAGCGAGTAAACTGTACTTAATTATGACAAATTCTGCGTAATACTTAAGACTAATCACTTACGTTGAGATCGATGCGTTGCTGTGAAATCACAATGACTTGACAGCTCTTAGGTGATGTATAACTTACATGTAAACACAACCAAAAGCTATGAAATATATTTACCAGAGAATAATATGGGTGATTTGTCACTAAATATGCGACGTTCCTTAATGTAATGACGCCCTATGCTGTTTATCAAATAGATAATTTTATCTAAATATGTTGTAGTCGCGGTTGGCCGGTGAATCACATCCGTATTGTATATGACGAAAACAAAACTACTTTGATTCATGACAGTCTATTGAGGTTTTGTGCGCGGCAGGTGCGAATACAGAATCACTCCATTGCCACGTGAAATGAATTAACAAAATATATCTCGATCACTGTAGAAAGTAATTATTCTCTGATTCAAGAAACGAGCCACAAGGAATAGCATTGTTAGATTTAAACAAACACAGACACCGTGAATTCCGTGCGGATGTTTTAGAATGGATGTTCATTAACAAACAAAATTTGTAGATAAGATTATCTATGTTTTCAGATATCTCACGTCTTACCTACAAGGTCATTAAGATAGTTTGTACCTGGTAAGTAATACTGGTGAGATATAAGTATTTATTGTAGGTATCGTTACCACGTGACTTAACTTATGGCGTTTACCATCAATATTATATAATGTATCTGTACAGCTCTATTGCGTTTCGTGCTGCGTTCCGTTTATTTTTTTTAGTCTCAGGTTTCTCATTTCTGATCACGTGATCAATTGTTGTCATTGTATTATTGATGACCTATTACTGCACTTTACTGACTATTGACGTTTACACAGAATGGCATCATTCTCTTTTCATGACAAGAATTTCTAACGTGTTAACAAACTGAACGATCTGGTTCTGAAGAAAGTTTAGAAATCGAGCAAACGCTTGTCAAATATTAGAATATAAAGAAAGAAAAAAAAGGCGGGGGGGGGGGGGGGCACGATCCAATCTGTTGGATACTAAGGGATATATTGAGTAAGTAATATCACAATATGTGTAAGTCAGGTACTCGAAATCACGAATGTATATAGAACGTGGTAGAATGAGACATCCTCTGTCCAATGAGAAGAGTAACGAGAACACTAGACATGTTAAAGTGTCATCTATTGTGTGATGTTAATTTCTATAAAAATGACTGTTTTGTACACAACTCTTGTAACGACTAACCAGCGATGCGTGCCGTGGGATCGGCGTGTGTTTCTACGTAAAAATTGTGTCATATATCAAACCTGTATTACTAAAGTAATATCCACGACAAAAATGTAAAGAAAAGTATATCTGTTCTGTGATGTTAGTGTGTAGTCATTTGATAAATGTCACAGTATCCGTCAAAATATGATAGGTAGCCAGCCGGTCCATCAAGTAGACATTCCAACTGACGTTTAAAGCATATTATGTCACAACACAATGCGAAAAGTTTTATTTCAAAACAATAAAAATGTTAATTGTTAAGAACGCGACAAAAAACAAAGCCATTAAGGATCTGATTGACGGAGGTAAGTTCACAACCTAGAACAGAACATAGTTCGCTACTCAGTACGTAGGGGTTTGTTTAAAATCTTAATTCACTCTCAGTTACACACTTTTGTAAAATATATTAAACCCATATACGAACAGTATAACAGTATAAAAATACAGATATCGGAGTTTAATGTTATAATTGGTAAATAAAGACTTTTTCTATGAGCCTGAGAACGACGGAAGTAGATAGTGAGTCAGCCATCTCCAAGGTCTTGTTCAATCAAAAACGTAAACAAATCAAATATGTCTCTGTATCGCTACTGTAAAAACCGAGAGCTATAGCATTCCTGTGAAACACCTGCGTTGCTACATGTAACCCCTCCTCATCTCTGGACGTTATCCGGGATTTCTAGACCCCTTTCTGGGGTCACGGCCTGAAGTTGGATCGGGTCAAATCCTGAGTACAAAAGAAAACTCTGGCAGCACGTTTCATTACAAAGATAACTGTTGCCGGACCGCCTTCAAACTATCTGATACTATAGAATACTCCTGATAAACACATGCTTCCTATATGGGCCTAGGCGTAAGATCTTGTTCAGGAGCTTGTTTAAAACTTGAGACTTTATCAATCTCTATTTTGATAGCTTGTTTGCTCCTGAGAACAGCGATGGAAAGGAAACAACACATATGGAGTTGATTTCCTTGATAATATTGTAATCCTCAGAACGTAAATGTTTATGTGTTAACCAGTATTTGAATAAATCCTGTAAGGACATTGTTTGATACAAAAATGACCATTGACCAGAAAGGTTTGGTCGGCCGGTAAGATGACCAATCGTTCAGAAATAGACAGTTTTAAGTGGTGAGAAAAGTCCCCTAATCTTACATCTGCTAAAATGTAGTTGGTCTTCCATTAAAGGATTTGAACTGTGATCTGGAAACAAAAGTATTATCATGGACATTATCACCAAACACCTGGATAGTGTAAGTAAATACAGGTATGCCTTGTACCTGCAGGGTCTTCTGTTATCGCACCTGCTGATTGAAAGACATGTTTTTTTCATTCCACACGTAATGAATGGAATGCAGGATTCTGTCTTCAATAGGATGCTTGAAATACTTGGTAACATCGACTCACACACTGACTATAGAAATGCAGAATAATACAGGCCTTTCATTCACTTCGTATGCTGTATTTAAATGTAAAATTGTGAGTTCTCAAATGTAAAAATAATTCAGTAGTATTGATTTGTTCAGATCGAACAAAACCCCGTCGTAGCACCTTCTTTTCCTC